TCCTCTTCTCCCTCAGGAGCAAATTCCTCTTTTCCTGCCTGCTCTCAGTACCAGGGGCCCTGGAGTTTCTCTTCTGAGCCTCCCTCCCAGCCTCTCTGCTTCTGGTCTTGCTCCCTCAGGTCTTCCTTTCCATACCTCCAGGACCCTGCTCAGCATTCTCTGTTTCCTACAAGATGAAACCTTGCGTGGTGCAAATGCTGTCTTCCCTGTGTGTTTCCAGCAGTTTCATTTTACTTTAATTTTGGGATTGCTGCCTGTGTCATGATACCAGGGCATCCCCTGTGCCTTTGTGTTTGCTGGCTTTACCTGCCTGAAATGCCCTTACCCTGACTGTCCTCTGCCTGCCTGTCTATCTGCCAAATGTCCTTAAAGGACTATGCCCCCGGGAACTCTGCTCCAGATCTAGGCATTTCCCTGCTAGTGCCCCCACCACACTGTATAGATTAGTACCTAATTAGCAAATCATGTTGCCACTATTGGCATATTTCTGTCTCTGCTAAACAGAGAGCAAGGACCAGTTTGGCTCATATTATCTTAACTTCATGTAAATCCCATAGACACTTACAGAAAGAGCAGTAGATATTTGGGTGACCATTTCATAGTTTGATACTCCCTTTTATTAGAAAATATTTTCCAGTAATTCTCATTTTAATGCTTTGCTTTCATGATAAACACCCATCATCAAATGCTAAGGAAACACTGATTGAAAGAAATTGGGTATCTCTATTGGGGCTTTTAGACACATAGGTTCATATTAAGGCAGAAAGGAGTGAATTGGCTGTCTGCTCAGGCTGGTAGAGACTCATGACCTACATTTTATTAGACAACACTAGTTTTCAATGCAATATGTAGTGAAAGCACATATTACCCAGTGCCTGTCACCTTTGTACAAGGAGGTTGATGTTTGAAAGTTGAAGAGGATGACACTAGGGAAAACCTGTGTCAGCAGGGTCCCAGGTATTGACCTACTTCAGACGCAGCATTGCCCCCCGCCCCAACCACCACCACCATGATGCCTCCCTGGCCCCTGAGGCACCAGGGCAGGTTCACCAGCACCTTATCAATGCTATCATGGTAGATTTTGGTAAACAGTTGGTGAGTAATTGAGTGGCTCAGTAAGTACAGAAACTAGTTAACATTATTGAATCCTGCATTTAGTGTTGTGTTTCATGGAACCCAAGGCAAATTCTCTTAGTAGTCATGAGTCCAACCTGATTTTAATAACTTGGAAAACCAGCAGATTCAGTAAAAGTGTGGCTTGTTTAGGATGAAAATGTCCTCCTCTATGACCGACCTGTCTCTCTCAAAAAGTATCTGAAAAATGGGCCTGTTCCTCTTTGCCCAAGTACTTTCTTAAGACAATAAACCAGTTCACTGGGTTTCTGAGCAGAAAGAACAAAGATGGCAAAGAGTGTTATTATTCAGCTGTTTCAATTGAGCAAATGTCTTTGATTCAAGTGTTTTTGTGATGGAGGTTTCATTTTCATTAAAATGAATCCCATGTAAAGTTGAATCAATTGTCTTGTTGAGAGAAATCTGAATTGATGTAGAAGTTAACATTTAATTTTAAGGTTTCTTATTAAATTGATTCTTTGAAATTGGAACATAATATAGTAAACAAAATAGTTTATTTTGATAATGCAGCTGTTTTTTAAAAAATAGTCACATCCCAATAAATATGTAAGGGCATGTAAGCATAGAAGGGCAAAGTCTGGCTCATATTATCCTTAACTTCATGTAAATAACAGATCCCACAGTATTTAAGGGAAACCCGTGGCTTTTCAGTATTATGAAGAATCCTATTTATATGAGTCTTTAGAGCTTTGAGCATCATCAGAGATTTCTGCATCATCTCTGATCTTCAGTTGAACCGGGAGTGAGGAGAGAGGGAAGGATATGCAAAGTGGGTCATCAGCTGCCACGTGGTACAGTTTTGTCCTTGGGGAGCACAGTATGTGGAGCGGAAGATTGAGGTCACAGCATGCTTTTCTAACTCCAGGTAGAGGGCACTGTGGACAAATGAAGACATGTTCTCTTAGAATAATATGTCAGTGTGTTCTTTCTTCCTTAATTATAAATCTAGTCCAAGTCCCTAATAAAACCCTATTATTTAGATTCCTGTCTACTCCCCAAGAAGGATTCTGAACAGATTATATCTTCTTGATGGCTAAGTGTTAAATACAAAGTGCTCAAAATTCATTTAACCATTTTTTTTTAAAATAATGTTTACATTTTGATTTTATATGTAACTTTTGAGTAGGTAATACATTTACCCTATGGTTTAAAAGTTTAAAAAAAAAAAAAAAAGCTTTAGGACATCTTTTACCTCTCTGGTTCCTGTTCCCTAATCTCAAAAGTTAAACATTTTTAGTATGTATTCTATAATATTTTTGTCATAAATTTATAAGCAAAAAAGCAAGAATCTTAGTATTTTCTCAAAAAATGTTAATATTAAAAAGTTCCTTCAGATTTTATAAATAATTGTCATCTGGCAGTTTTAAAACTGATATTGTGTTAAATAATAATAGTTGAGAGAGAAATTCTAGAAAGAGAATCAGATGTTATTAAGAACTCAAGAAATGATAAAGCAATTATCAAAAATAAATGAATTTAAGCCTGGAGTGATGGCGCATGCCTGTAATCCCAGTGACTGGGGAGGCTGAGGCAGGAGGATTGCGAGTTCAAAGCAGCCTCAGCAAAAGTGAGGCGCTGAGCAACTCAGTGAGACCCTGTCTCTAAATAAAAGAGAAAATAGGGCTGGGAATGTGGCTCAGTGGTCGAGTGCCCCTGAGTTCAATCCCTGGTACAAAAAAAAAAATTTTTTTTGAGTGAGTATTGGTGGGACGCAGAACAATGATATTAGGAGAATAAACTTGTATCTAACCTGAATATACTAAAACAATATTTTGTTGTTAAGTTTATTGCAAAAATTTTAATTTTTGTTTATATAATGTTATGTCTACACCTAATCCACTTTCCAAAGCATATGAGAATAGCTGAGACTTGCTTAAGAGGCCTGGAGGATTCTGACTGAAACAATCCCACAGAGGCTGTCTATACCTAGGGAAGTTCTTCTATATTCGTGAGCCTTCCCTTCCCTACCTAGGAAGGATAAAAAGGGAAGCCAGGGTCAAAGCACACCCCTGTAGTCCTGGCTACTCAGGAAGCTGAGGTAAGAGGATCACTTGAGTCCAGTAGTTTGAGGCCAGCCTGGAAAACATAGTAAGGCCCCCATTTCAAAAAAGAAAGGGAAAGTGAGAATACTGAACCTGTGAAACACAATTATTACATATTATCTGGCAAATACAATTTCTTAGAACATTTAGGAAATAACATAAAATAAAGAAATACTATTCTTAGATATTTTGACAGGTTGTTAAATATTTGGATTATGTTTAATTTATATAATAAGTGACTAATTTGTTCTTCTGGACTATAATATGACACTATCAGTTGGATATATTCTCCATCTGCTAGGAAAGTGGATATTATTAATAAGCAACTTAATAACTACTATCCGTAGTGAGGCACAATGGCACATACCAATGCCAAGGACTTGGGAGGCTGAGGCAGGAGGATTGCAAACTTGAGACCAGCCTCAGTAATTTAGCTAGATCTTGTGTCAAAATAAAAAAGGGTGGGGATATAGCTCCATGACAATGCACCCTGGGTTATATCCCCAGTATCAAAAAAAAAAAAAAGCCCATTACCAGTAAAGAATTGTGGATAGTTTCCCCTTCTCTTCAAGTATTAATAAAACACAATGGATATTTTAGTATTTTAGAAACTAAGGATTATTAAGTATTGATACAAATGTGAGTTGTTTAACCATGTGCAGAAACCACAGAAAATAAGAGCCTTTTTTCTGTTTTATACTTGAAAAGTATATTGAGTATTTTGCCATTGGTTCTTGGAACATGAATACCAAGGTTGCTTTGTTTATTTTCCTTCAAACAATCACAGTAGTGGTTTGCTTCTCCCTGAAAAATTAGAGAAAATAATCACTGGCTGCTGCTTGAAGTTGTCTTCAATTTGTTTACCACAAAATGCAGATGCCACAGAATGTCTGTCGGGATAAGGAAACGTTTATTTGTTTGTATCTCTTTTTTTTTTCTTCAGATTTAGATTTGTTTTGATCATTTGGCCTGTTTATTTCAAGAAGCTAAGCTGCTTGTTTCCTGTTTTTCCAATTCTGTTAGATTATTTAAAGTGACTGGGACATTTGGAATGGTTCCAAACTGAACAGTTTTTCATTTAAAATAGAGTTATTCCCCGGGGCAGGATGGCATAGGAAGTGAAGAATCACTTAGTGTGACATCTTAGGTGGATTTGTAGTGTTAGCAAGTGCTTTAAAAAAAAAATACCTCACCCACCCTTATTGCTGCTTGCTGGGGGAGGGGAGAATGAAGCTCGCCTTTTGTAGAAAATGGAATAGTATGGTCAAGCACATATCTCTTCTTAACAGTGAACTTAAAGGGGCAAAATGTGAGTAGATTTTCAATTAAGTGCTGACTTATTAGAGACTCAGAAATGGCACATCTGCAGTATAAATCTTTGAAATGACCTGGCCATCAGCACGGCAAGGGTGAGGCATTTGTACAAAATGTACAGGAGAAGGGAAAGATCTTTAAAGTCCAGTCATTTGTGTTTTTCTTTCAACATATGTAATCAGAATAGTAGTCACTATCAGGTTTCTCTACCAATTTAACTGCAAAATTGAAAGCTATGAAGCCAACATTATTTTCCAACCAAATTTCATGTTTCTTGGTTGCTAGATCCAAACTAATCTTTAAAAGTCAGCAACTGTAGCCTTAGTCTGCATTTACAAATTCTAAACATCCAGATCTTTGATCAACCCCATTCTCATCCATATGCGTTCCTTGTGTAAACATCACATAAATGCATTTTTGCGGCTTATCAAGTTGTTTTTGAACCCATGTGTTGGTGATTAGAAAAGTTAACCTCACACATCCTTGTGCCTGTATTAATTCCTTTCACAGTTGAAAAGGGCAGACAAAAGAATCCCCGAAGTTCATGCATCCAGACACAGACATCTCCAGATGTACTGTCCTCGGAAAAAACACTGGAATTGGCTCGATATAAAACAAAATGTGAAAATCAGAGTGGATTTATCCTGCAGCTCAAGCAGCTTCTTTCCTGTGGTAACGTCAAGTTTGAAGCCTTGACGGTTGTGATCCAGCACCTCCTGTCCGAGGTAAGGAAGTGTGGCCTCCACTCTGGGTCTTCTTGCTCACTGAGGCAGGGGTGGGGCAAAATGGGGGAAGATTGGGGGCACATGCCCTTGTGAATATGCCTGAGTTAATGATCGGAACTATCCAGTATAATTCCTCCAATTCTGCTTTTGTTTACTTAATTGATACCCGAGTTCCTCTCCTGAAATTTAGAATGGAAACATTTTCTTAGTATGTCCTTTTCTCCCCAGTCTCTTGATTAGAATGACAATATTCAAAAAAGATAATTGCCTGTGGTACTCTTAGTGCACCTATAATAGCATTAAGCGCCCCCTCCCAGTTCATTTTTTTTTTGTCTAATTATATGCAGCTTTCCAATATCACACTTAATTTAATGCTTTCAAAAATGAGGTTGGTTATGTTTATGGGTCAGATAACTCTTTTTGAGATAACTCCCAGAATCACATCTGGAGACTCTTCAAAGTTTCCATCCATTCCTAAAATAATCTGTGGTATGTCGGAAGCAAAGCAGATTTTCTTTGTTTACTTACTCTTCCCTGATATTCTTAAACAGGGATGTTAATTCAGGAACTGGTTAAAATTTATAGAGAAACCAAGTTTAACTGAACATTTGTTAAGTGAACATTGCAGACATAGTTCTTTAGATATGTTTTAATCACAGTTTTAAAGGTGGATACCTTCCTTTCTCAAAAGAAGAAAACTGTTCAGTTTTGTTCTGTAGGTCAGTGGTCAGTTCAACACAGTAAACCCATAGTGATCTTAATACAGAGGCCACTGTGATGCGGATGCCCACCTAGGGAGGGGAGACAGAGGTGAATAAGACTTGGCCTGTGCCTTTGAAGAGCTACGAGACTAGATAACAGTTTAGACCAAATACTTGATGAATATTTTGCAATTTTGTCTTTTATATAAATATGGATATTGGTTATATACAAATATATAATGTCCATATCAATATTAATTAAAATCTATACAGATAAAGCTACTAAACATTACATATATGATATATTTTATGTGTATGTGGGTGGGTGGGTGGGTGTGTGTTTTGCCTGAGATTCAGCCCAGGGCCTTGCACATGCTGAGCAGGCACTCTACCACTGAGCTGCATTCTCAGCCCCTTGTGCGTGCGTGCGTGTGTGTGCGTGTGTGTACACATACGTGTGTATCTTTTGCCCCTGAGGGGGAAGTAAAGACATTTACCTAGTTTTTTACTTATGGTAGTATATTGTGTTTTTGGTACTCTTTAATATGTAAGAAAGGAATTCAAGAATTAGTTTATGTAACCAAGTAGGATAAATTAGGAACCACAGAGGGAACGTTTAGTTTTTCTATTCAGAGATAAACCAGTGATTTCGTTTTACTGCATCCAGCTTAACAGCACCATCTTCAACTCTTCTCTCCTTTATCCTCCTGCGTAAGTCAATCATGAGGTCTTGTGAGCTCTCAACTCCGGGTTTCTCCCCTTCATCCCATCTTTGCCATTCCTACCAATTGTCCTCCTTGTTCAGCCCCCAAACAACTAACTGTCCGCTTGGTTCTGATAGCAACTTCATAACCAGCCTTTATGCCTGTAAGCTTTCTCCCCTATAATCTCTCCCCAACACTACTCCCAACTTCATTGTTCCAAAGCTTTCCATTCTGCTGATTAAACCCCCCGGGGTATCTCCATTGTCTACAACTGATCTGGCCAATAGGATAGCCTCTAGGAGGCCATTGAGCATTTGTAATGTAATCAATCTGAATTGAGTGTGTGGTGAATACATATGGATTTTTAAAACTTTGAATGAAGTGAAAGGACCTGAAATGCCTCATTATTAATTTTTATAGTGACTGTCAAAGTGGTATTGATAAATATATATTCAGATTGAATAAAATATTATCTGTTTAAATTTTTTAAAGATGTGGCTTCTAGAAAAATTTAAATTACATACACAGCACATCATATTTGTTTTGGACACCTCTGGTTTACAAGTTGGAATGTAAGGTTCTCTATAATTTGTTACCAGCTGCCATATATATATATATATTTAAATATATATATTTATTTTAGTTATAATGGACACAATATCTTTATTTTTATTTGTTTTTATGTGGTGCTGAGGATGGAACCCAGGGCCTCACATGTGCGAGGCAAGCGCTTTACCTCTGAGCTACAACCCCAGCCCACCAGCTGCCCTTTTAATGTAAGCCTCACAGTGCCAGTGCTCAGCAGCATACTAGGAAAATGGAGGAAAAGTGAGAGGGATTTAACATTTGTTGAATATTTTCTAAGATACCAGATATTCTTTCTTACCTTATTAGATCATCATCAAAATCACAATAAGTTGGAATTTACAGTCAAGAAAATTAAGGAATAGAGTTGTGAAGTAATATCAGACAGTAAGCAAGAGGAGGACCAGGACTTAAACTTATGGCTAGGACTTTATGAACTGAAAATGTCCTATCCCTTTTCGTCCTTGGTTTAAATACTCTTCCTGGGCGGCTACTGTCCCTCTGAAACCTTCTCACATGTTCAGGACTTTTTTTTTTTTTTAACAACATTCTCATATCACCATCTGCATTTAATTTATAGATTTTTTTTAATGCAAACAACCAAAGTAAAAATGCAAATTAAGTGAAGAAGGCAGTGCTGTCTTCCATGTCCCTCAGAGGCCCAGGAGTGATTTGAGATGAAAGACAGGAGTCTGCTTTACAGGCATCTTCTCAAGCCCCAAGTTTCGCTCCCTTGTGACATGAACCTTCTCCATTATATTCGATCTAAAGTATTTTAAAATACTTTTTTTTTCTTATGAAACCTAGCTCTTAAACACAAGCCAAATAACTTATCAGGTACTCAGTTGTGGAAAGAGCAGATCCAACACTAGATTAAAAATTCACTGGGTTGGGCATACAGAGAAATGCTTTGATAGTCCATAACATGAGTGAGTTCCAAGTATATTTTTACCATATATGAATTTCGCTCACACCTGAATGTGGGTCCTAACACCTATGTAATTGTGACTCTACTGAACAAAGCTCAGGAGTTCCCTCTTTAGTGAAGACTCCTTAGCCTTCTAGTTGTCTATTCAGCTCACCCTCTAGATTCCAGCAGCATTTCTACTTCCCTTTTGTTCTTTGTATTTAGTTTTCCAGTTAGTGCTTTTTAAGATAGGAAGCTTACTGAGAGCAGGATCTGCCTCTAGTTCATTATTAGGAACCCACCCAGCAGCTGTGATACAGTGTATTTGTGAATGAAGTAATGAATGGGGAGTATGGAATCCCAGATGGAAGATACACAGGAAATTTTGATGTAAATGTCCTTTGTTCCTTCTTTCTTTATACTCAATCAGCAAATATTTACTGATTGCCGAATATGTACAGGTACTGTTATAAAACAGGTGGAAAGACATAGCCAGAGGGAAAGTTAAGCAACTAAAAAAGATTCACTTCACCCTGTAGAGTGTGTGTGTGTGTGCATACACATATGTTGTGTGTGTATATATAAATATGTATGAATATGTATGTACAAATATATTTATATGTATAAATATATGTGCACATATATATCTTGCAATTACTAATCTTTTCTAAATGATTTTGAAGCATTGGGTTATGGGTAAAAATGGTTGATTATAGTGAGTCCCAGAACTATCTCTTATCCTTCTGTTGCAAGTCTATTCAACAATGCAGACACATTTCATTACACCTTCGTTAGAAGTTCTAATAAATGTCTCATCATTCTGGAAACTTATGTTACACCCTCTGTTTCTCAGAATACACATCATTATCTTCAGTTTGTTCTCATTCTTGGTTCATCCTGGAATGGCTGTACAGTATCCTACACTGACAGCCAAAGCCAACAAGATTGTGATGGTAGTAATCCCAGTGTCTTTTTAAAAGGGTCTGTGTAGGTTTCTAGGTAACCTAGAGAAGATTGAATTCTACCCCTCCCCACAATCTCTTATTTTAAGTGCCTTCAAATTTAGCCTAGACTAGTAACTAAACAAAGGTGAATCTTGAGTGATGCTAAGAGTCTACTTTAAGTAAAATTGCCTCAGATTAAAAAAAAAAAAAAAAAAGTAGCCATACTGACAAATTCACTGTGTGGCCCTTGGGGAGGTCAGACATGGCCACATCAGAGCTGTCTGATGTGGGCTTTTTTTTTTCCCTGCAAGATCCTGTGCTGTTGATACTTCTCAGTAGCTAGCAGAATTCAGGCACACTGATGGGACCACAGCCAGACACTAAGTGCCTGTGTCCCGGGGACCCTTAATTAAATTATGGTGAATCCATATTTTTTCTTGGAGTATTTCATATGTTTAATGCATGAGTATAAAAGCATTTTTCTATCCAGATTCCCCCTTTAGTTTTTTTCCTGTGTGTGTGTGTGTCTGCTGTTACAGTAACAAGAGAATCAAATAAACCTGTTATCTGGAGTTCATTAGCTAAGACGTAAACACTGATCTGGGAATATCTGAAGAAAAGCAGTGAATCAGAATCTGACAAAATATATTTTATCAGCAAGTAAAGGATGAATACATTTAAAGGGCAAGCTACCAAGGAAGTCGGGCAGAAATGAACACATTTTTTGTGTCTGTTATGGTATGGGCCCTGTGGTTGGCATTTCACATAAATATCATATTTAAAGCCTTCAGTTTTTCCATTATCCTGTACTGCTTCCCCTCAGATGAGGTCATCTGTTTTGATTGATAACCAAAGAGTTGGGCCTGGACATTTTAGTTCCACCCAGGATCCAGGAGCCTTGAAGGCAGAGACCTTAAGTTTCTTAAATTTTTTTTTTTAAGCATGTGCTATGAAAAATGCTTAGCTAATTGGTAATGAGTAACAACTTGCCAACCAATTCAGAAGCACATTTGGGGTAGGGGATGGTGTCTCTGGCTGGCATTTAGCATTCCCAGAAGGTTTCTGTAACAGGTAAAGAAGGTCAGGCATCCAGAGAGGGGTGCCACCACATGTGACTTATCAGTCAGGGTCACTCCAGGTGAATTGGGTTGGCACTGAGACAGAGAAAATATCTTTTTCTTGGGGTTCAGTGATGTCTCATTGGCCCCAGCTCCCACAAGGGAAGCAAGAGAGGAGGACAAGAGCGACAGCGAGCATGCCTTAAGCCATATTTATTGAGGGGAAGACACTCAAGAAAGTTCCACCCAAATGAGGCAAGGGATTGAGTTCAGGGGGATGTAGCCCAGGCTCACTGGGTGATGCCCACTCCCAGAGCTTCATTCCCCTGCCTGACTGCTTCAGGATCACTTGTGGTATCTAATAAAGCTGTCTTCTGACTTTGAAATTGGTTCATGTCAGTTCATGGGTATAATGCCCAAGAGTAATGAGAAAAGACTTTGCAGCTAATTCTGAAATTTACAAAAGACCCTTGTCTACCACATGTCTGCCAGATTTCTTGGGTCATGTGGAAAAAAACAAAAAGTACTTTTGAGGAAGCAAATCCTGGAACTCTTGTGATTAGGTATCATTCCAGTCTGTGAAGACTCTACAAAGTTTAATAGTAACTATGTATTTCTCTTTCTTAATAAATATAACCAGGGACAAAACGTACTACCGTTTATCCAAAATAGATTACCAAACAAAATTAAGGCTGAAATTGAGATTAAGAACATATTTTTAAAATTATATATACATTTTAAATTATTTCTTCCATTATTATCCCAGTTGATTGCTTTCCTAACAATTACTTTTTTATTTGCAGTGCTGGGGATTGAACTCTAGTGCTAGGCAAGCCCTCTGCCACTGAGCTACACCCACAGCCCTATTTATTATTTTTAAAACTTGGAATTACTGATTGGTTATTTCAAAATAATACCACATTTTTTAAAATTCAGGCATTTAGGATACCATTAAGGCTAAAATGTTCTCAATGAATAAAATGTTTCTTCAGTCTTGGTCACTGTTATCCATTCATAGGAGTGTTAATTTCCTTAACTGAGTTGTGAGAGACTAGTGCAAAATAAAAGTGATAAAATAGAAATGACCTCAAAATCTTGAATCTGCACACTTTTAAACTCATATTGTGCACATGTACAAGAATGTAACAATAAATCCCACTGTTATGTATAATGCACCAATAAAAAAAGAGGAAAAAAATTCATCAATGGTCTGTGTCCTATGTAATCGAATCAAATTTTGAGAGAAACTCCATTCATTTTACAACATCATGTAAAATTCTACAGCACAACATGGCCCCTTTCACTGCCCTTCGCCTAGTTCATAACCTCATTTAGTTTATGGGTTTTGAGGAACAGGTTTCCCTTCTTTATTAGCAAGTGTGATAATCTAATGACCTCAATTAGAGAGGGGAGTAACAAGGCTCACAAATCTAAAAATAACTCCATTATCCATGCAGAAGGGTCAGTTTTTATTTCCACCATCCCAGCTGATATTTAAGTAAGTGGCAATCGATCAGTCTAATGTCTGGCTCTCGTTTTTCATAAATGAAGGGCTGTGGCTTTAAGTAATCACAGGCTGCTTGTGCCAAAGGCAGAAGCTGCAGTATCAGCTTCTGTGGGGAGAGAGGAGTCTGAGGCATACGGTAACCTGCAGGACGTTCAGGAAGGCCACCAGGGCCAATGGCGCTCCTCCTGGTAGAGCTTTGAATGTAGACAGACCCGACTGGTGGGTGGCACAGCCACCTGTGCACTTCTTGGACAGTGCAGGGGGTGGGGAGTTGGAGACAGAAGCTGGAAAATGGGCTGCCCCAGCAGCAAAATGTGCCTCTATTCTCCATGTGCAGCAACAAGGGTAATTAGTATTTGTTTATAGTGCTTTTCTGGAAGAATGTCAGGGACTAGGGCAGAGGGTGTTTGGAATCGGGGAAATGCTTTGAATGACAAGCAACTCTTGCCTGCAAAGGCTGGATCTTATGATCTCTGCAATACTGCAATCAAGATGCGGTGGGAGCTACCTCTGGGGCCATCCTAGCGAGGGCATTTTCACAGAGCTTGGAAATTGTATGTCTTCCTTAGTTACGCCCTGATAGTAGGGAATCCACCTTGTAAGGAACTATGTCTGATGACTGTGTGTAAGTATGTGTGGCTCTGTGACTGGTACGAGTTGCTGGGAACTTAAAAATTATTCTGTATCGCAAAGTTGATTGTGGCCTTTTTAATGCTGAAACAGCTGCCTGTTTCTTTTGCTTCGTTTCTTTAACATCTATTTAGAATTATAGCTGCTCTAAGATATAATAATCTTTCAAAACTCCTGTGTAGCTGGATAAATTCAATTTTAATTTGTCTTTAAATGCTTACTTTTTTGTTGTTGTAGCTTTGTAACAAACTTTTTTTTTTTTTGGTCTCATTTAGAAGTAAAGGATTGCCCTTGTAACAAAACTTTTTTATTTGTAAATATAGGACAAAGTATATATAAAAGCCTATGTTTAGAACATTAAATATTTATCTTAAACTGATTAGGCCTTTTATTGCCCGTGGGAAGGAGAATGTGTTTTCTCCTAAGTACAGTATGCATTAGCTGAAAGGCTGTATGGATCAGCCCAGAAGCATTGACTCTTAAGCAAATATTTTTTTAAATGAGCAATTCAGTTCCTCAAAGGAAAGTTTCACGAGGACCTGAGAAAATACAGATTTTTAAAACACAAATTTCCTTTACAACTAAGGACGTGTGTGTGTGTGTGTGTGTTGTTTTAAACAACACACACAATTTAGCTGAAATGATTCACATCTTGGCTTCCCGATCTTGGGTCTCGTTTTCCTAGTGATAACAAATGTGTACCTTACTGCAAAGGACCCTCTTGAAAACATTAGTAACTTGATGTGTGTTTTCCACAGCGGGAGGAAGTACTGAAACAACACAAAACCCTATCTCAAGAACTTGTGAACCTCAGGGGAGAGCTAGGTAAGAGCCTCTTTTTTCTTTTTTTGTGGTGGTGTTACATTGTATGGGGTGAGGGGAAGGTTGGAGAATTTGGACTTCCTGTCTGCATGGTGTCTGGAGTTGCACGCTGGCAGTTGTCAGCTCTCCCCCTCCAGTATCTGTGCAAACACTTACTATCGACATTTCTTTTGAATCTTGGCAGCTTGACCTCAAGTTCACAGAATTCCTGGCACTGATCTCACTAAAGCCTAGCAGAGCCTCTGATGACCAAAACATGTCTCTTGCTGAAGAGAGAGAGAGACAGAATAATTTTTTTAATCGCTTGAATTCCCGTTAAATAATTCCATCATCTTTTTTTTTCTTTTTCTGAACCACTTTTCATATGAAAGAATATTGAGGAAATTCCCTTTGATAACAGCAATTACATTACACTTCCTAAGGATGGCTTGTGAGTAGTGAGTTTACAGTTAAAAGGGTGCTGCTTGTCAGGACCATCCATCTGAAAAAGGCATATTCTATTTTGATCTTACGATTTGGATAGTGCTAAGGGTGAATAATTGCCCAACTCCACAGGGAGCCATGTCTGAATGGCTCAACACCCACTCCTGCTGTTCAAGGCAAGACTATTTTAGTTCAGGTCTGTCCTAGAGGTCCTCAGGGTTCATGGGATAGAGACAATACTGCCTTTTCTGCCTCAGCTACTGTGTAAGAGTGAGCTGGGCTGCTTAGGGATCCCCTGTTTGTGGGGCTCCTCAGCCTAGAGAACTGGCTTCCTACTTTAGCGCCAATCATGCCTGGAGCTGTCCATCCAAAAGCTGCCTTCCTTGCCCTTCGTAGTTTTCTGTGTGTGCCAGCACTGGAAGCATGGGTAGGTATGAGTATAAGTAATGCAAAGGTAACAGCTAGAAGAGCAAATTATGCTCATCCAGATATAAGACAATCTGCCTGTTTTTCTTTGGAAAAGACCAGAGTTTAAGCATTGCCAGTCTAATTTGCTGAACCGAAACTCTTTGAAACAACCACTGTCACCATGCCAGGTCCAACCAGGGCAAGAATTGAAGGGCAGAGCCTAGAGGGTCAAGACTTGCTCTTCATGTTACTTTTCTCTTTCCACCCTCCAAGAGGAGGGAGGACAAACTCCTGGCTAACTCCCTGGATCATAGTATCTGGCCAAAGCAACAGTCTTGACCTTGTTTTAGGCTGTGGACATGAAGTACCCTTTATGGGAAAGTAATCTTAAGACAAATGAAACTTCAGAACCCCAAAGACTTGACAGTTCTAGTGAAAGTATTCAGGGAAACCACAGCTGAGAAGTGTTTCTGAGGGCTTCCTGCCATGTTACCTGACTACTGCCCTTTTGCTTACACAGATGGCCACCTTAATTTGCATTTGTGCCTTAAGTAATGTAATGGATACAGAGTTAGAACATCAGGAAAGAGGCCTTTCTGTGTGTTTAGCATTCATTGTACCCCAGTGAAGGTGGAGCTGAGCCTACCTAGTGTTTCACATTTCAACCTCTCTTTAAGGCAAGGAGGAACAAGAACGGAACACTGTGCTCATTCACTCTTCTTGAATGGGGGATCCTCTTTTTGCCTTTTAGTGGATGGCACAATTAAGCAATTTAAACTGGGGTGCAGTACTCGGCACCTCCAGTCAATCACATCATCAGGAAGTAGCCATCAGTTTGTACCCACTCTCACCTTCCATCTGTGATTGGGAGAGTGTGTCTAGGTGTGCTGTTCCTCTGCTGCCAGAGTGTCGGGATGCAGTGGGTAGCCTGGCCATGTCCTCCTGTCACCTAAGGTCCATCTCTGGGAATGTGTCATTGCTGCTGTTGAATCCAGCAGAACTGCTCAAGTAGCAGCATAAAGAATTTGGAAAATGTTTGGTTCTGTCAGGGAAGAGAAGATAATCCCTTAAACACTTGTGATAAAACCGGCCAGGAAGAACATCTCAGAGCACACAGTTGGATTGTTGGTTTTAGCCTGAACCGAGATGGAAAATGATAGGTTTACATAACAGAGTTTAAAGCTTGTTTTAAATTTTGAGGCAGTCAAGAAGAGCACCAAGCAAGGACTGTGTTGTCACGTGTCCTTGTTCAAATCCGTAGTAGCTGAGTGACCTAGAGCAAGTAACGTCTGTCTCTGCTGTCCCAGTTTCATTCTCTGTAAAATGGCAGTAGTGATTGTCTGCCCTCAGGGTGGTTATGAGAATCACATGGGGGTAATGATACTTTGTAAAGTGTCTCCCACCAAGTGTTAACTGCCATTAAATAATAGGTATTGAGATATATGCAGTTTTCCAGCTGGGTAGTGATTGACCACATTTGCCATTTTGTAAGGGCATAAACCATACTGCAGGTAGGAATAGTAATTAGATGAAATGTTATCAGAAATACCTCAGGACAGGCTCCTTAGACTCAAATGGAAGTGAGACCTGACCCATCCTTTCCTGATGGTGGAGTTTAATGTGTAGAGATAGTAGCTTGGCAGTTTGTCCTTCCAATCCTTAGACATTACCTGACTTCTTTGAGTACAGATTCTTTGTTGGTGATATGAAAGTTGATATTTTTCTGGCCTATTGTGTAGCATGAATAAAATAGTAACATATAAGAAACAATGGCATAGCACCTGGCCCATGATAGGAAACTCAAGAAGAGAGAGCTGCCATCATCCTCATGAGCGCAGTATCCACCTTTCCCTCCAAGATGATGTGAGGTCATTGGTGTCGATCTCCAACAGGGTGAATTTTCTTTACTTTCTCTATGAAAACTGAGACCAGGTTCCCAAACTACTATGCACTGCAGAGAATAAAGACAACTCATAAACTGAGAGGCACTGAAGCCCAAGTAGAGCTGTGCTTTTGACCTTGAGAATCTAATGCCTCATTTTGTCCCCACCAAGCTAAGGTAGCTTCCCTCCACCGCAGCCTGCATGTTTCTGCCATCTGAGCCACACACCTTCATGGAATGATTGGCTATTTGCTTCTGCAATAACTCTTCAAAAAAGCCCAGAAAGAAACTGTGGGGATCCCCTCATTCCAGCGACCCCTTGAGATTTTACACCAATATATCTGCTCTATCTTGTGTTCTCCTAGTATATTCAAATAGTAGAGCCCTAAATTATATAGATTCTTTCCTGCTTCCTGCAAGGGGTGGGGGTTATAATATACTTCGCATTTTCCTGAGTAATTGATAAATATTATTGTCATTTGAGGTTTCAAAGTTCCTTTGTTATTTAAGAAACTTGTATGAAAACAAAATTTTTAATCAAGAAGAAAATAGCCCCTAGTTCCACTATCCAACTATAACTTTTATATTTGCATAGTTCCTTGTTTTTGTTTAGATGAATATATACAGCTTTGTGCTCTGGTTTTAAAATTTAGGTATAATTTACATACAGCAGCATTTCTGTTATTCTGTCCAACTTGATAAACATATTCTCATATAACCTATATCCTTGTCAAGACATAGAACAGTTCTGTGATCCCAGGAAATCCCTTGTGCCCTATTTCAGGGGGACCACCCCATCCATCAGAAGCAAACACTTATTTTTTATCAACATAGGTTAGTGCTGTCTATTCTAGAATTTCAGGTGAACGAAAATACATAGTATTCTCATTTTTTGTGTCAGGCTTCATTCACACAGTATCATGTTTTTAAGATGCATCCCTATTACTGTGTGTATCCTCTGATCTTTTTAACTTAACAGGTACAGTATTTTTCCATTTTTGCCTGATAAGCCTGCATTATGGGAAAATCTGTCAAGTGGGTTTACCACAGACTTACTTACCTGTTAAATAGCCTTGCAGTCAGTGGGTTTCCTCATCCATTCCCCTGGTTTCACCTCCATGCTATACAACCATGACTCACAGGTGTATTTTCCTAGCCCTTTCCCTCCTAAGCTGTAGGTATTCTTCTTCCTCTAGGGCTGCCTCTAGGTGAGCCAGTCCACTGTGATTAAACCTTCTTAGGCTTCCAGATTCTCTGCAGTCTTTCCTCATTCAAACCCATTCCTCACTCAGCCTGTGGTGGCATTACTGATTCACTTTCCACCCAAGCTAATGAATGATCACCCTCCTTTTCCCGTGCTCTGCCTGTGTGGCAGTCTGAGTCCTAAGTACTACATCCTTCCCTAGCATTCCGGCTGCCACTGTTCTAATATAAGCTCCATAGTTTCTTATCTAGATGATATTGCAGTGGCCACCCAACAGGTTGCCTTGCCTCTAGGCCCCCAGCTCTCTTCCTCACATGCTGCTCTTTCTCCTTGCTTCACACCTCCTTTCCAGGCCCTGGCCCTGGCCCGGGTTTACTCGGCCTCTGTCCACTGCTCCTGCATGTGTTACCTTCTCTGCCTGCGGTGCTTCCTCCTCTTTCTACCACCCTTCTATTCTTGCCTCTTCGTTTTCTCATGTTTTAAGTCCCAGCTAAAATACCGTGCCTTCAGGGGAGTTTCACTCAAATGTTTTAAGCAAGTGAATTTCACTTTTCCTATGCCCTTCAGGGTGCTTTATCCACACTGAAGACTCTGTTCTGACAGTTGTTTGTTTATAGATCTCCTCTCACCATCCAGAACTATGAGCTCTTCAAAGGCAAGGTTACTATCTCCTTCACATTTTTTTTTGTAGTTCTGCCACCTTGTGCCTGGCACATACCCAGTACCTAGACCGTAGTGAATGAGGGGATTTTGTTACTGAGGATGGGAGCTAGGGAAAGGGGGTTTTCTCCTTTTGGTACACAAACACTTGATGGGTTTTATGCACAAATGTTTTCTTATGAATTGTTTTGAGAGCTACATTTCTGTCTTTAGGAGTGAATAATAATAAATAATAATAAAGGTAAAATATAATTTTCTTGGACACATTGTGTCTGATAATCCCAGTTAATTAGCAGATCATTTTGAATAGTTAAATTTAATGGTCTACACCCACAGCAGATATTTTGCCTCAGAGAGAGGGTAAATGTGTCATCCTGATTCTTTCTACAGCTGTATTGCATGAAAACTGGTGTATAGAGGGCCATC